GGTGCCTCCTCACGGAGACATCCATTCATTGTGATTGGTGGTAGTTCAGTGTCTGATCAGCAGTGATTGAATGTAACTAGTTTGGTTTATGAGGTATTGAATATATTGTGACTTTGTGCTAGCCAGTTTTTTTCCTCCGCTGGGAAGTTATTACTCAATCAGAAGAGAGGTCAATCTCTGATTGTCAAGTGTTTTAGATGTGCAACCATATATCATATCATCAGCAAAGATGTTTACAAATGATTTGAGTATATTCTTAGGCAGTTCAATTATGTAAAGTAAGATGCCTCTGGTGACCACCAGGGCCTTGGAAGACTTGCTATTAATAACTACCTTCAAGGATTGACCTGTTAGGAAGGATTTTACAATTGTGAAAACACTTCCATAGCTGGATAGCTTTTGTAGCAAACCTTTGTGTCACACCTTGTCAAAGGTCTTCAAGATATCTAATGCTATGGACCTTGTGGTGTGTGTATTGTCAAGAGACTCACTAAGTTTGTGCATAATGATAGTTAAGACACCAGCAGTGTATCAGGCTAATCAAAGTCCATACAGCTTGCTGTACAGGAGGTTGTTCCTATCTAGGTGCTTGATGACCTTCTTGTTGATTAAAGCATCAAAAAACTTACTGAGGGAACTGATGGGTCTATATTTGGAGGATCAATTGCTTGCATTCTTGAAGACTGTGCATACACTTGCCTCCTTCCATGTTTTGAGGAAGGATTTCTCCTTCAAGCAACAATTGAAGAACTTAACTCTCTATAGTATTATAAATATATTTTATTTTAAATTAAATTTGTTATCCTATATAGTTGATTGGATCAATTCCACACTTAAAAAAACATCAAGACACCACAAAGTCAAATGATTAAAAAAACATGTAAGTGTTGATGGGAAAAGAAATGTCAAACTATTGAGTAAACTGCAGTGGTTTTATTTTTGTTTTTTATTGCCTCAGGAACAAGATTCCAATAAACTCAATTTCATATGAAATATTCAGTAAAAATTTGAATTTATTTTTCTTGCATTGTTTTTAATTTTAATGATAGCCGTAGTTAAATTCCTGCAATATTTTATCATTCTTGTTTATTCTGGGTTTCTATATTTGAGGTTAAATCTCTCTGAAGATATTGCATCAGATCTTCAATTTCAATGCAGAAACTTTTCTAAATATTCCCTATTTTCATTCTTTTATTTTTTTAAATTCCTATCAATAACAATTTCAAACATGAATCATTATGTAATTTTTTTTCTCCTGAATGAAATTCTGCTTCACTTCTATATGTTATAAAATACATCAATCTGTTAATTTTTAAAAGACATTAAACTTTAAACTATTTTTCATATATCCATTTATGTCCTGTTTTTGTTCATGGGTTTTTCAAAGCTGTTTTTAAACTGTATCAGATGATTTTACTGGATTTTATGATTATTAACAGTGTGTAATAATTGTGCTATTTTTATAACTATTTTTATCATATCTACAAAAATGATATTTCAAACTTGTGTGCAAGTATTTAATTATTATATTATTAAGACTTTATTATACAGACTAACTCATGATACTTACTTGACTATCATCAATCTCTCAGTATTCTGTATGTTTGATATGTATTTTTTCTTGTTTGCTTGAAGTACAATATAACTTCAAATTACAAGTGAACAAAATGTATTTATTGATAATCATAGGAAAAATGTACACTTTCTTCCAGTTTGGCTATACCTGAATACATATGCATTAACAGCTTCCATCAAAATATTATTGAAAGAACAATTGATTCAGAATGGTATTTTGTATGTGTGATATTCATTGTTTACAAAAATTCAATATAACTGACTATAAAATTATTGATTTTGTTAAAAGCCAAACATGTACTGTATAGATCAAATATCTTTAGGGTCAATATTTTTTAATCACCATTCATTCATTCTATGAAGGTATAATTATTACTGATTATTGTTGCATGTGTCAGGATTTTACATAATTAGTTCATTAAATTTTAAAGATTTACCTAGGGTTTGATTACTCTTGACATAACATATATTTAAGACTACTATTCCATGAAATACCGGATCACATACCAGATAATTTAACAAAAGAATTATTGACTTCAGCATCTCAGACTCTTGGCTTAGGCATTTTATAAGAGTTGTTGGAGTATATAACTCCTGCTTTGAATCCAATTACAGACAACTTGTAACTAAACTGACAACACCAGCCAACAAAATAGCTTGCTTCCACTCACATAAACCATGAAAAACACCTAGGTATAACATCTAAGCTCTTATAAATGAAAGGGTAATATTAGAATTCTGTAATAAACTAGTCCAAATTGATGTCAATAAATCTTGATCAAAACAACATAGACAACTAATGTTATATCTTCATTAGCTGAAACGTGTGAGACCATTCCAAAAATACATAAATGGAAAAAGATGTGCTTCTGAGATGACAATCTTGAGTTGAAAATATTTATACAAGAAAAAACAAACAGAAGAGGAAAACAATGAAAAGGAAAATAGTCAATAATTTATAAAGAAAATAACCAGTAACTGGTTTATTTTATATAAGTTAATTGGTTTCTCAAAGAGTTAACTCATTGAAAAACCAATATCTCCAGAAAACTGGAAACAAAATTGATTAAGCCAAGCAGCATAGACCATGTGTTAAAATGTGGAGAGAAACTAAAAATCACATCATACAATCAAAACCAAGACAGAAAAAAGTGTTCTAGTCTCAAAAATGCTTTGAATAACATTTTAATCCTGAACTAAAGATGCTTGCAGAAATAGAACATAGATTTTATAATGATTGAATATATATCTCCAAACATAAACAGTAACTGATATGGAAACTAAGAAAGCTATTAAAAAACTAAAGAATGATGTTGAGATTGAACTTTTGAATAGCTTACTTTCTCACCAAATTCAATAACAAGTTTCTCAATTTTATGAAGGAAGTTTGGAATCGGAAATGTATCCCAAAAAAGTGGTGTTTATCATGAATTAATGCACTTTGGATACAAAAAGGTAGCCCTGAAGACCATCACACATACAGAGGTATTTCTACTGGATACATTATTGTGAAAGTATTAATGAACAGTGTATTAACTAGGCTCTCAAGTCAACTCCTCACAACCCAATTTGATTTTCGTTCTTATAAGTGGTTTATTGATGGTATATATGTCATCAAGTAGCCCCAGGAAATAGCATAACTCTCCTAATAGGAAATTGTATATATGCTATGTTGATCTCACAGTAGCATATGACCTCATCAATGGAAACTTACTCTTCTCACCCATTAGAAACCACTTTTCAAGCTCTGAATCCACTGAATGCATTGGTCTAATAGAGGAAGTTTATTGGTCAACAAAGAACTGCACTAGATAACAGAAACCACACCACTTGAAGAATTGCAACAGCTAAAATGGATATCACATGTAACTTGAAGAGAAAATAATGAAGCAATCAAGATGTTGACATTCTACACTACTTCAAATAAAAGATTAGGAAGGAAAACCTCATCAATACTCTAAAGTGTGATAACTGTTACTGGACTTGAGAAAACTATTTTCCTGAAAAATTGTTTTAAGAGATTTTATAAATTTCCACCAGTATTTATACTGGCTGCTTGGTCAGTGAATGCAAATGTTTCCTTATAAGTAAATAGCTAATATTACCATCATCATTTAATCAAAAACACTTTTAGTATTTGCTGTTCATCTTTGTATTGAGAATTTGAATACCAAATGTTTTCTGAAGGTTAGTGAGATCCTTCTAGAGTTTGTACAATCATTATTGCAAAGTTATTACAGATTCTAAAAATACCAAAGTTGTTAAAATTAAGTCATTAACTGTACTTTGCAGTTAGTTCTCTTGAATTATATGGCCTTCAGCTGGAAATGAAAACAATATTTTTTTTTTAAACATTTCACCCCAAGCAAGGCAATAACGCCACTAAGACACAAGGAGTTACTGAGAGTGAAAGTGAATGAGAAGACTTCAGTAATCAGAAAGAGTGGATTCAGGAAGACAGAAAATGGTGATTAACATTATACTTATATTTTTGAAGATTGTAGGTAGCATGAATTTCACAAGCGAGAAGTGCAAGAAAAGAAATTATTAGAATAGAACAGTCAGTTACATATAGCTATTTCAACAGTGAAACGATGAGACCTAGTAGCCAATCTAGTAGCATGCTAAAATTCATGTCGTCATGGTACAAAGGAGAGCTCATTAGAACAACTACTATGAAAATATTCATAAAAATGACAGAGGGGGAAACCATATCACTGCAGTGGGTAAGTGACTGAATTTGATTTGGATTTTATCAAGAATCTAGTGAGATATACCTGGAGCACCAGACCGGATATGGTAGCAATATTCAATGCACAGACAAATGGTAGATTTATAAATATGCAAGATGGATTTTGATGTGAAAAACTGTCAGACATGACACCATGAACCAGCCTTCTGAGCAGCAGACTTAGCGGTTGATTCAATATAATTGCTCCACTTCATGTCATAAAATGTCAGAGCAAAAATGCACAATGAGTTGCTCTCCTGGAGGCTAGCAACATCCATGCTGATAGAAGGCAAATATAGTTCTCTATGATGATTAGAATGTAAGTTTTGTATTGTAAGTGTTAAAATTTACAAGCCATTTCTTTTCCTAGTTAACTAATTGGAGGTCATTTTTGAGAGCAACTGCCAGTTTTACTTTGTCAGACTTATTGGACTTGCACTAATACAGTAGTAAATAGTTGACAATAATATAAATGCCTAGTTTGGGACTGATGACATGAATGTTCCAATTCCTGTTGGGTTAGTTATATTCACTTACATGCAAATAAATTTGGAAAAGGAATGAATCCCCACCCCACCCACATTCCACCCAACTATGGGTTAATTAGTAAGACTTTTATCACTAATACTATTATCTCAAAAAGATTGTACAATATATTTAGATTTCGGCATTAAAATAACGCATAGAGGTTGACATGCCACTAACCAACCTTCTATATTTTACTTCTTCTATTCTTCTATTTCCTTCTATTTCTTTTTTCTTCTTCCTATGTTTCTTCTGTTTCTTATTCTTTCATTTCTATTTCTTCTGTTTCTTATTCTTTCATTTCTATTTCTTCTGCTTCTTATTCTTACATTTCATTTTCTTCTCTTATTCTTTCATTTCTATTGCTTCTGATTCTTATTCTTTCATTTCTATTTCTTCTGTTTCTTATTCTTTCATTTCTATTTCTTCTGTTTTTTATTCTTTCATTTCTATTTCTTCTGTTTTTTATTCGTTCATTTCTATTTCTTCTGTTTCTTATTCTTTCATTTCTAGTTCTTCTGTTTCTTATTCTTTCATTTCTAGTGCTTCTGTTTCTTATTCTTTCATTTCATTTTCTTCTCTTATTCTTTCATTTCTATTTCTTTTATTCTTTCATTTCTATTTCTTTTATTCTTTCATTTCTATTTCTTCTCTTATTCTTTCATTTCTATTCTCTAATTCTTTCATTTCTATTTCTTCTGTTTTTTATTCTTTCATTTCTAGTTCTTCTGTTTCTTATTCTTTCATTTCATTTTCTTCTCTTATTCTTTCATTTCTATTTCTATTATTCTTTCATTTCTATTTCTATTATTCTTTCATTTCTATTTCTATTATTCTTTCATTTCTATTTCTTCTCTTATTCTTTCATTTCTATTCTCTAATTCTTTCATTTCTATTTCTTGTTTTTTATTCTTTCATTTTTATTTCTTCTGTTTCTTATTCTTTCATTTCTCTTTCTTATTCTTTCATTTCTCTTTCTTATTCTTTCATTTCTCTTTCTTATTCTTTCATTTCTATTTCTTCTGTTTCTTATTCTTTCATTTCTAGTGCTTCTGTTTTTTATTCTTTGTTTCTATTTCTTCTGTTTCTTATTCTTTCATTTCTAGTGCTTCTGTTTCTTATTCTTTCATTTCATTTTCTTCTCTTATTCTTTCATTTCTATTTCTTTTATTCTTTCATTTCTATTTCTTCTCTTATTCTTTCATTTCTATTCTCTAATTCTTTCATTTCTATTTCTTCTGTTTTTTATTCTTTCATTTCTAGTTCTTCTGTTTCTTATTCTTTCATTTCATTTTCTTCTCTTATTCTTTCATTTCATTTTCTTCTCTTATTCTTTCATTTCATTTTCTTCTCTTATTCTTTCATTTCTATTTCTATTATTCTTTCATTTCTATTTCTATTCTTTCATTTCTATTTCTTCTCTTATTCTTTCATTTCTATTCTCTAATTCTTTCATTTCTATTTCTTGTTTTTTATTCTTTCATTTTTATTTCTTCTGTTTCTTATTCTTTCATTTCTCTTTCTTATTCTTTCATTTCTCTTTCTTATTCTTTCATTTCTCTTTCTTATTCTTTCATTTCTATTTCTCTTATTCTTTCATTTCTATTTCTCTTATTCTTTCATTTCTATTTCTTTTATTCTTTCATTTCTATTTCTTTTATTCTTTCATTTCTATTTCTTTTATTCTTTCATTTCTATTTCTTTTATTCTTTCATTTCTATTTCTTATATTCTTTCATTTCTGTTTCTTGTTTCTTATTCTCTCATTTCTATTTCTGCTTTTTATTCTTTCATTTCTGCTTTTTATTCTTTCATTTCTATTCTGTTTCTTAATCTTTCATTTCTATTTCTTTTATTTTTTATTCTTTCATTTCTATTTCTTCTGATTCTTATTCTTTCATTTCTATTATCTCCTTCTTTAATTTCTATTATCTCCTTCTTTCATTTCTATTTCTTATTCTTTGATTTATATTTCTTCTGTTTCTTATTCTTTCATTTCTTTTTCTTCTCTTATTCTTTCATTTCTTTTTCTTCTCTTATTCTTTCATTTCTATTTCTTCTCTTATTCTTTCATTTCTATTCTCTAATTCTTTCATTTCTATTTCTTGTTTTTTATTCTTTCATTTTTATTTCTTCTGTTTCTTATTCTTTCATTTCTCTTTCTTATTCTTTCATTTCTCTTTCTTATTCTTTCATTTCTATTTCTTCTGTTTCTTATTCTTTCATTTCTAGTGCTTCTGTTTTTTATTCTTTGTTTCTATTTCTTCTGTTTCTTATTCTTTCATTTCTAGTGCTTCTGTTTCTTATTCTTTCATTTCATTTTCTTCTCTTATTCTTTCATTTCTATTTCTTTTATTCTTTCATTTCTATTTCTTCTCTTATTCTTTCATTTCTATTCTCTAATTCTTTCATTTCTATTTCTTCTGTTTTTTATTCTTTCATTTCTAGTTCTTCTGTTTCTTATTCTTTCATTTCATTTTCTTCTCTTATTCTTTCATTTCTATTTCTATTATTCTTTCATTTCTATTTCTATTATTCTTTCATTTCTATTTCTATTCTTTCATTTCTATTTCTTCTCTTATTCTTTCATTTCTATTCTCTAATTTTTCATTTCTATTTCTTCTTTTTTTATTCTTTCATTTTTATTTCTTCTGTTTCTTATTCTTTCATTTCTCTTTCTTATTCTTTCATTTCTCTTTCTTATTCTTTCATTTCTCTTTCTTATTCTTTCATTTCTCTTTCTTATTCTTTCATTTCTATTTCTCTTATTCTTTCATTTCTATTTCTTTTATTCTTTCATTTCTATTTCTTTTTTATTCTTTCATTTCTATTTCTTTTATTCTTTCATTTCATTTCTATTTCTTTTATTCTTTCATTTCTATTTCTTTTATTCTTTCATTTCTGTTTCTTTCTTTTCTTATTCTGTTCATTTCTATTTCTCTTTTTTTATTCTTTCATTTCTGCTTTTTATTCTTTTCATTTCTATTCTGTTTCTTAATCTTTCATTTCTATTTCTTTTATTTTTTATTCTTTCATTTCTATTTCTTCTGATTCTTATTCTTTCATTTCTATTATCTCCTTCTTTAATTTCTATTATCTCCTTCTTTCATTTCTATTTCTTATTCTTTGATTTATATTTCTTCTGTTTCTTATTCTTTCATTTCTTTTTCTTCTCTTATTCTTTCATTTCTTTTTCTTCTCTTATTCTTTCATTTTTTTTTCTTCTCTTATTCTTTCATTTTTTTTTCTTAACTTGTTCTTTCATTTCTATTTCTTATTCTTTCATTTCATTTTCTTCTCTTATTCTTTCATTTCTATCTCTTCTCTTCTTCTTTCATTTCTATCTCTTCTCTTCTTCTTTCATTTCTATCTCTTCTCTTCTTCTTTCATTTCTATCTCTTCTCTTCTTCTTTCATTTCTATTCTTCTGTTTCTTATTCTTTCATTCCTATTCTTCTGTTTCTTATTCTTTCATTTCTATTCTGTTTCTTATTCTTTCATTTCTATTCTGTTTCTTATTCTTTCATTTCTATTTCTTCTTTTTTTATTCTTTCATTTCTCTTTCTTTTGTTTTTTATTCTTTCATTTCTGTTTCTTTTGTTTTTTATTCTTTCATTTCTGTTTCTTTCGTTCTTTATTCTTTCATTTCTGTTTCTTTTGTTTTTTATTCTATCATTTCTATTTCTTCTATTTCTTATTCTATCATTTCTATTTCTTCTGTTATTCTTTCATTTCATTGTCTTCTCTTATTATTTCATTTTCTTCTCTTATTCTTTCATTTTTATTTCTTTTATTATTTCTATTTGTTTTCTTAATCTTTCATTTCTATTTCTTTCATTTTTCTTCTGTTTCTTATTCTTTCTTTTCTATTCTTTCTGTTTTTTATTCTATCATTTCTATTTCTTTTGTTATTTTTTCATTTCTATTTCTTCTCTAATTCTTTCATTTCAATTACTCTTTTCTTATTCTTTCATTACTATTACTCCTCTGTCTCATTCTTTCATTTCATTTTCTTTTATTCTTTCATTTCTATTTCTTTTCTTATACTTTCATTTCTATTTCTTTTCTTATTCTTTCATTTCTATTTCTTTTCTTATTCTTTCATTTCTTTTTCTTCTGTTTCTTATTCTTTCATTTCTTTTTCTTCTGTTTTTTATTCTTTCATTTCTTTTTCTTCTCTTATTCTTTCATTTCTATTTCTTCTCATTTTTATTCTTTCATTTTCTATTTCTTCTCTCATTCTTTCATTTCTATTTCTTCTGGTAATTATTCTTTCATTTCTTTTTCTTATGCTTTCATTTCTATTTCTTCTGTTTCTTATGCTTTCATTTCTATTTCTTCTGTTTCTTATTCTTTCATTTCTATTTCTTCTGTTTCTTATTCTTTCATTCCTATTCTTCTGTTTCTTATTCTTTCATTTCTATTCTGTTTCTTATTCTTTCATTTCTATTCTGTTTCTTATTCTTTCATTTCTATTTCTTCTGTTTCTTATTCTTTCATTTCTATTTCTTTTGTTTTTTATTCTTTCATTTCTGTTTCTTTTGTTTTTTATTCTTTCATTTCTGTTTCTTTCGTTCTTTATTCTTTCATTTCTGTTTCTTTTGTTTTTTATTCTATCATTTCTATTTCTTCTATTTCTTATTCTATCATTTCTATTTCTTCTGTTATTCTTTCATTTCATTGTCTTCTCTTATTATTTCATTTTCTTCTCTTATTCTTTCATTTTTATTTCTTTTATTATTTCTATTTGTTTTCTTAATCTTTCATTTCTATTTCTTTCATTTTTCTTCTGTTTCTTATTCTTTTCTTTTCTATTCTTTTCTGTTTTTTTATTCTATCATTTCTATTTCTTTTGTTTTTTTTTCATTTCTATTTCTTCTCTAATTCTTTCATTTCAATTACTCTTTTCTTATTCTTTCATTACTATTACTCCTCTGTCTCATTCTTTCATTTCATTTTCTTTTATTCTTTCATTTCTATTTCTTTTCTTATACTTTCATTTCTATTTCTTTTCTTATTCTTTCATTTCTATTTCTTTTCTTATTCTTTCATTTCTTTTTCTTCTGTTTCTTATTCTTTCATTTCTTTTTCTTCTGTTTTTTATTCTTTCATTTCTTTTTCTTCTCTTATTCTTTCATTTCTATTTCTTCTCATTTTTATTCTTTCATTTCTATTTCTTCTCTCATTCTTTCATTTCTATTTCTTCTGGTAATTATTCTTTCATTTCTTTTTCTTATGCTTTCATTTCTATTTCTTCTGTTTCTTATGCTTTCATTTCTATTTCTTCTGTTTCTTATTCTTTCATTTCTATTTCTTCTGTTTCTTATTCTTTCATTTCTATTCTGTTTCTTATTCTTTCATTTCTATTCTGTTTCTTATTCTTTCATTTCTATTTCTTCTGTTTCTTGTTCTTTCATTTCTATTCTGTTTCTTATTCTTTCATTTCTATTCTGTTTCTTATTCTTTCATTTCTATTCTATTTTTATTCTTTCATTTTTGTTTCTTCTGTTATTCTTTCATTTCATTTTCTTCTCTTATACTTTCATTTCATTTTCTTTTATTCTTTCATTTCTATTTCTTTTATTTCTATTTCTTTTCTTAATCTTACATTTCTATTTCTTTCATTTCTTTTTCTTCTGTTTTTTATTCTTTCATTTCTTTTTCTTCTGTTTTTTATTCTTTCATTTCTATTTCTTCTGTTTTTTATTCTATCATTTCTATTTCTTTTGTTTTTTATTTTTTCATTTCTATTTCTTCTCTTAATCTTTCATTTCTATTTCTTCTGTTTTTAATTCTTTCATTTCTATTTCTTCTGTTTTTAATTCTTTCATTTCTACTCCTTTTGTTTCTTATTCTTTCATTTCTATTTCTTCTCTTCTTCTTTCATTACATTACTATTACTCCTCTTTCTTATTCTTTCATTTCTATTTCTTTTCTTATTCTTTCATTTCTATTTCTTTTCTTATTCTTTCATTTCTATTTCTTTTCTTATTCTTTCATTTCTATTTCTTTTCTTCTTTCAATTCTATTTCTTTTCTTCTTCTTTCATTTCTATTTCTTCTGTTTCTCATTCTCACATTTCTTTCATTTCTATTTCTTCTGTTTCTTATTCTTTCATTTCATTTTCTTTTATTCTTTCATTTCATTTTCTTTTATTCTTTCATTTCATTTTCTTTTATTCTTTCATTTCATTTTCTTTTATTCTTTCATTTCATTTTCTTTTATTCTTTCATTTCTATTTCTTTTATTCTTTCATTTCTATTTCTTCTATCTCCTTCTTTCATTTCTTGTGTATCTTCTTTCATTTCTTGTGTATCTTCTTTCATTTCTTGTGTATCTTCTTTCATTTCTATTTCTTCTGTTTCTTTTCTTTCATTTCTATTTCTTATCTTATTCTTTCATTTCTCCTTCTTTCATTTCTATTTCTTATCTTATTCTTTCATTTCCATTTCTCCTTCTTTCATTTCTATTTCTTATTCTTTCATTTCTATTTCTTTTCTTATTCTTTCATTTCTATTTCTTTTTTTCTTTCATTTCTTTTTCTGTTATTCTTTCATTTCTATTTCTTTTCTCATACTTTCTTTTCTATTTCTTTTCTTATTTCTTTTCTATTTCTTTTCTTATTTCTTTCATTTCTATTTCTTCTGTTTCTTATTCTTTCATTTCTATTTCTTTTGTTTCTATTTCTTCTCTTCTTTCATTTCTATTTTTTTCATTCATTTCTATTTCTTTTCTTCTTTCATTTTTATTTCTTCTCTTCTTTCATTTTTATTTCTTCTCTTATTATTTCATTTCTATTTCTCCTCTGTCTTATTCTTACATTACTATTTCATTTCTATTTCTTCTTTCATTTCTATTTCTTGTGTATCTTCTTTCATTTCTCGCGTATCTTCTTTCATTTCTCGCGTATCTTCTTTCATTTCTATTTCTTTTCTTCTTTCATTTCTATTTCTTCTGTTTCTTATTCTTTCATTTCTATTTCTTATTTCTATTTCTTTTCTCATACTTTCATTTCTATTTCTTCTGTTTCTTTTCTGTCATTTCTATTTCTTAACTTATTCTTTCATTTCCATTTCTCCTTCTTTCATTTCTATTTCTTCTTCTTTCATTTCTATTTCTTTTCTTCTTCTTTCATTTCTATTTCTTCTGCTTCTTATTCTTTCATTTCTTCTGTTTCTTATTCTTTCATTTCTATTTCTTTTCTTATTCTTTCATTTCTGTTTCTTTTGTTTTTTATTCTTTCATTTCTGTTTCTTTTGTTTTTTATTCTTTCATTTCTGTTTCTTTTGTTTTTTATTCTTTCATTTCTATTTCTTTTCTTCTTCTTTCATTTCTTTTTCTTCTGTTATTCTTTCATTTCTATTTCTTTTCTCATACTTTCATTTCTATTTCTTATTTCCTTTCTATTTCTTTTCTTAATCATTCTTTTCTATTTCTTTTCTTATTCTTTCATTTCTATTTCTTTCATTTCTTTTTCTTCTGTTTCTTATTCTTTCATTTCTATTTCTTCTGTTTGTTATTCTATCATTTCTATTTCTTATCTTCTTCTTTCATTTCTATTTCTCCTTCTTTCATTTCTATTTCTCCTTCTTTCATTTCTTTCTTTTCTTCTTCTTTCATTTCTAATTCTTCTGTATCTTCTTTCATTTCTATTTCTTCTGTTTCTTATTCTTTCATTTCTTTCTTCTGTTTCTTATTCTTTCATTTCTATTTCTTCTGTTTCTTATTCTTACATTTCATTTTCTTCTTACATTTCATTTTCTTCTTGCATTTCTTCTTCTTCTTAATCTTCTTAATCTTTCTTTTTAAATTTTTTACTTCCTTTGTTTCTTCTTTTTCTTCTTTTATTTCTTCTTTTATTTCTTTTTTCTTCTATTTCTTCTTTTTTCTTTTTCTTCTTTGATTTGATATCCTCCAACTCTTTACTGAGTGGTGCTGATATTCCAACTCCTACCCACTCATTAAGCTACAGCACTTTCCTCAGTACATAAACCATTCA